GAGCCGCTGAAGATGCAGTGGGATTACATTGTTTCTGAAGGGAATGCGCCCCGATCTACATAAATGCATCTATGTTCACACGAATCATTCATGATCCAGCCTCATCTACAGAAGAAGTGAGTATAATGTTTTGTAATGAATCTTTGCAAATCGCCTTTCCTAATAATGTGCTAATTAGCAAGTTTCACGATGAATGCGGCTAAAGTAAACAGTCTCTCTGAGAGCAGCTCGGAAGAGAGGGGCGGGGTCAGCAGAGCTCATTAACATTTAAAGGAAAATGCTACAAAAACGGCTTGCTCTGAAAAGAGCTGTTTTTGACAGGGTAAAAAAGGTGTTTTTTACACTACCATTGAGAAATTTTAACCAAACTATGTTACAGACTTTTCATTAAGACCCTAAAGAATCATATCAACTTGTGGAAAATGGGCATCATATGACCCCTTTAAAAGGAATAGTTCACCTCAAAATCATCATTTACTCACCCTCATGTTGTTCTAAACCTGTATGACTTTTGGGGGGAAAAATACAAGAAAAAAGAACAAACAACCAAAATAAATGCATATTTTGAAGAAACTTCACGCTGCTCTAATCCACAGAATGACAGTTCATAGTGACTACAGCGAAGAAGCTACGAAGATTAACAAAAGAATGCATGGTAGATGTGAATATTAACAGTGAACAATAACTTTAGAAGCTCATAGTACAAATATAGTGCACAAATCACATTCATTAATTCTATGGTGCTTTTTAGTGCTTGTTTGGAGTTTAACAGACATGGTCACTACAAAGTGCTGCAGGGATGATTTTTTGTAAGCCAACCTGAAAGTTAGCATCACCATGGTTACCTCGACAAAAAGTCAGTAAGATCTTTCCACTGGCTTTTGGATTATTGCAGATAATATGAAATGGGACAATACTGTATCTCGAGTACAGACCTAATTTCAGGCATTTAACCAATAACCTACTGACTTCAGGACGATGGAACTGGAAGTGTAAACGTAAAAGTTGTTTCCAGGTTTTAGGACTCATTCTTGCGGCACCCTATGAACTGTTGTTGTATGGAAAGAGGCGCATTAAAATTCTTCAGAAAAATTCTACTTTAGTGTTCCACAGGATATGTGAAGTCATAAAGGTTTAGAACAACGAGGTAAATCATGGCAGAATTTTTATTTTGGGATGAACTATGCATTTAAGTATTTATAGAAAGAACTGGAATCTATGAAAATTAATTTCAGTCAGCAGAGACTGAGATAATGTTAAATTATACAGTTTTCCTTTTAACAGGAAATTGTGCCACCTACAGTAAATTGACCAAATGTAGTATAAGAAACAGCGTTAGGTCATCAAGACATGATCCGATCTCATCCGATATCTCTCTCAGCTCTACAGATTTGAACGTGTCAGCCAGGGAAACTCCTAGGAGATAAACACAAAGTCTCACTGAACAATAAAGAAACTCCATTGAAGTCAATCCTGTTTATCTCGAAATGCTTTTGTAACACTAGAAAGTTTCCAGTCATTGTTGGGGAAGCCCTTTGAGCGTCAGTGTGACATAAACAGAGAGTTTCAGTGTCCCAGGTTGATATGACACCCAATTCTTCAATATGTCTGCATGCGGTTGCCAGGATACACCCAGCACAACAAAGAGGGTCACAACTTTTAATTATGGGGGTCTCAAAACGTTCAAGAATAGAAAGGTCAGTTATGTTTAATGTGTGTGTATGTGAGAGGGATAAAAAAAATTGTGAGTGTTGAAATTTACGGTTACACGGACCTTGTGATGTTATGAACTCTGAAAAAAAAAAAGTTTGCATGTGTTTTTTGTTCATTATCATATTTGATAAATCAAATGTTTATGGATCGTACAGTATTATATAAGAGAATATGGGGCTCATAGAGGGGAAAAACACCTACATTTTATTCAGTGGCTCAAACGGAACAAAAATATACAATTTGGAGTAGTTGCTGATAATTAAATTGCCCAAAAATAAGTTGAAATTGTGACAGCTTGTAAATAATTGAGATCATTATAGTATAGCAGACTGGATATAAAAATGTATATAAATATCAGTTTCACACTACATTTCCCAATCATATGACTTAGATGATATTTAAATGCTTAGTTTTATTGTGAGGGCAAAACATTTAATGCAGTGCAATACAACGATGACTAATATGATGCACAAATAAACGTTCCTTAAAAGCCTAATGTTTCATATTTGATACTACATTTTAACATTCAGATTTGGCTTTGAAAAAAAATGATGTATGGAAAATTATGTAGACCTAAATTGCTTGCTTCAGCCCAATAAGTGTTCATCTTAAAATATTACCAACAAGTTATTCTTATATTTACTTTATAAAAATCAGTCAATATTGCACACCAAAAAGACACATGAACCACAACCTGAAGAGGGACATTTGAAAATGTATTTGCTTAAAAATGATATACTGTCAATCAGGAGATAGAAGGCATGTAGTAGATTGCATACAAGGTTTTTATCATGCTGACAATTTAGAGACCTTGGTTGCATATCAAATATGATTCAGTAGGCTTTATAGGGTTAAAATGAGAATATACAACTAAGTAGTGCTTTATCTAAATTGTTAATGATATTGCAGCAGATTGAACTATAATGTAAGGCTGTGTGTGTGTACAGTACCTGTTGTTTGCGGTCTGAGGCCGGGTCTATAAGTACGTTGAGGAGGCTGGGTGCCTGTGTGTTTTTCAGACTCTCCTGTAGTGCACTGCGGAGTTCCTCCACCGTTTGGACCAGATACCCACGACCCCCGAACGCACTCATCACCTGCTCGTACCGTGCCTCTGGTAGCAGCGTCACCGGAGGAGCACTAAGACACACAGGTCAGTTTTATCTACAAGATTTGATACAGTGGGGAAAATATTTATTTAATCCCCTGCTGATTTTGTAAGTTTGCCCACTTACAAAAAAATTAAGGGTCTGTAATTTTTATGGTAGGTTTATTTTAACGTATAGAGACAGAATACCAACCAAAAAATCCAGAAAAAAAAACACATTATATAAAGGTTAGAAATGGATTTGCATTTCAGTGAGTGAAATAAGTATTTGATCCCCAAGCAAAACATGACTTAGTACTTCGTGCAGAAACCCTTCATGGCAAGCACAGAGGTAAGACGTTTTTTGTAGTTGGTCACCAGGTTTGCACACATCTCAGGAGAGATTTTGATCCACTCTTCTTTACAGATCCTCTCTAAATCCTTAAAGGGGTCATATGGTGTTGCTAAAAGGAACATTATTTTGTGTATTTGGTGTAATGAAATGTGTTTATGCAGTTTAAGGTTCAAAAAACACATAACATATTTTACACATTAACACACCCGCCTTTCTGAAACAAATATCGCATGCGATTTATCGTGCAGCCCTAGCCCCTTACCATACTGTGATGCCGTCTCACGGAGCAACGAGACAAAAACATTAAAACCCAGTATAAACAAGGCATTTGTTGCATCCAGTGGGGACATAATTACGGATTATAATGACTTATACTGTCTTTT